GTATCTGTTCATATCCTTTGCCCACTTTTGAATGGGCTTGTTTGTTTTTTTCCTGTAAATCTGTTTGAGTTCTTTGTAAATTCTGGATATCAGCCCTTTGTCAGATGGGTAAACTGCAAAAATTTTTTCCCATTCTGTTGGTTGCCGATCCACTCTAGTGACTGTTTCTTTTGCCGTGCAGAAGCTGTGGAGTTTGATTAGGTCCCATTTGTCTATTTTGGCTTTTGTTGCCAATGCTTTTGGTGTTTTGTTCATGAAGTCCTTGCCTACTCCTATGTCGTGGATAGTTTTGCCTAGATTTTCTTCTAGGGTTTTTATGGTGCCAGGTCTTATGTTTAAGTCTTTAATCCATCTGGAGTTAATTTTAGTGTAAGGTGTCAGGAAGGGGTCCAGTTTCTGCTTTCTGCACATGGCTAGCCAGTTTTCCCAACACCATTTGTTAAACATGGAATCCTTTCCCCATTGCTTGTTTTTGTCAGGTTTATCAAAGATTGTATAGTTGTATGTATGTTGTGTTGCCTCCGGTGCCTCTGTTTTGTTCCATTGGTCTATATCTCTGTTTTGGTACCAGTACCATGCTGTTTTGATTACTGTAGCCTTGTAGTATAGTTTGAAATCCGGTAGTGTGATGCCCCCCGCTGTGTTCTTTTTGCTTAGAATTGACTTGGCTATGCGGGCTCTCTTTTGGTTCCATATGAAGTTCATGGGGGTTTTTTCCAGTTCTGTGAAGAAAGTCAATGGTAGCTTGATGGGGATAGCGTTGATTCTGTAAATTACTTTGGGCAGTATAGCCATTTTCACGATGTTAATTCTTCCTAACCATGAACATGGAATGTTTCTCCATCTGTTTGTTTCCTCTCTGATTTCGTTGAGCAGTGGTTTGTAGCTCTCCTTGAAGAGGTCCCTTACGTTCCTTGTGAGTTGTATTCCAAGGTATTTTATTCTTTTTGTATCAATTGCGAATGGCAGTTCGTTCTTGATTTGGCTTTCTTTAAGTCTGTTATTGGTGTATAGGTATGCTTGTGATTTTTGCACATTGATTTTATATCCTGAGACTTTGCTGAAGTTGCTTATCAGTTTCAGTAGTTTTTGGGCTGAGTCAATGGGGTCTTCTAGGTATACTATCATGTCTTCTGCAAATAGAGACAATTTGGCTTCCACCTTTCCTATTTGAATACCCTTTATTTCTTTCTCTTGCCTGATTCCTCTGGCTAGAACTTCCAGTACTATATTGAATAGGAGTGGTGAAAGGGCATCCTTGTCTAGTGCCAGATTTCAAAGGGAATGCTTCCAGTTTTAGCCCATTCAGTATGATATTGGCTGTTGGTTTGTCATAAATAGCTTTTATTACTTTGAGATACGTTCCATCGATACCGAGTTTATTGAGGGTTTTTAGCATAAAGGTTCTGGCATGTTGTGTCTTCGTTCTCATTGGTTTCGAAGAACTTCTTTATTTCTGCCTTCATTTCGTTGTTTACCCAGTCAACATTCAAGAGCCAGTTGTTCAGTTTCCATGAAGCTGTGCGGTTCTGGGTCTGTTTCTGAATTCTGAGTTCTAACTTGATTGCACTATGGTCTGAGAGGCTGTTTGTTATGATTTCAGTTGTTTTGCATTTGTTGAGCAGTGCTTTACTTCCAATTATGTGGTCAATTTTAGAGTATGTGTGATGTGGTGCTGAGAAGAATGTGTATTCTGTGGATTTGGGGTGGAGAGTTCTGTAAATGTCAATCAGGTTTGCTTGTTCCAAGTCTGAGTTCAAGCCCTGGATATCCTTGTTGATTTTTTGTCTGGTAGATCTGTCTAGTATTGACAGTGGGGTGTTGAAGTCTCCCACCATTATTGTGTAGGAGTCTAAGTTTTTTTTTAAGTCGTTAAGAACTTGCCTTATGTATCTGGGTGCTCCTGCATTGGGTCCATATATGTTTAGGATCGTTAGCTCTTCTTGTTGTATCGATCCTTTTACCATTATGTAATGGCCTTCTTTGTCTCTTTTGATCTTTGTTGCTTTAAAGTCTATTCTATCAGAGATGAGAATTGCAACTCCTGCTTTTTTTTGCTTTCCATTTGCTTGGTAAATCTTCCTCCATTTCTTTATTTTGAGCCTTTGTGTATCCTTGCATGTGAGATGGGTTTCCTGGATACAGCACACTGATGGGTTTTGGATTTTTATCCAATTTGCCAGTCTGTGTCTTTTGATTGGTGCATTTAGTCCATTTACATTTAGGGTTAATATTGTTATGTGTGAATTTGATACTGCCATTTTGATGCTAAGTGGCTGTTTTGCCTGTTAGTTGTTGTAGATTCTTCATTATGTTGATGCTCTTTAGCATTTAGTGTGATTTTGGAATGGCTGGTACTGGTTGATCCTTTCTATGTGTAGTGCCTCTTTTAGGAGCTCTTGTAAAGCAGGCCTGGTGGTGACAAAATCTCTGAGTACTTGCTTGTTCGCAAAGGATTTTATTTTTCCTTCACTTCTGAAGCTCAGTTTGGCTGGATATGAAATTCTGGGTTGAAAGTTCTTTTCTTTAAGAATGTTGAATATTGGCCCCCACTCTCTTCTGGCTTGTAGTGTTTCTGCCGAGAGATCTGCTGTGAGTCTGATGGGCTTCCCTTTTTGGGTGACCCGACCTTTCTCTCTGGCTGCCCCTAGTATTCTCTCCTTTATTTCAACCCTATTGAATCTGACGATTATGTGCCTTGGGGTTGCTCTTCTTGCGGAATATCTTTGTGGTGTTCTCTGTATTTCCTGCAATTGAGTGTTGGCCTGTCTTGCTAGGTGGGGGAAATTTTCCTGGATGATATCCTGAAGAGTATTTTCCAGCTTGGATTCATTCTCTCCGTCCCCTTCTGGTATACCTATCAAACATAGGTTAGGTCTTTTCACATAGTCCCACATTTCTTGGAGACTTTGTTCATTCCTTTTTGCGTTTTTTTCTCTAATCTTGGTTTCTCGTTTTATTTCATTGAGTTGGTCTTCGACTTCAGATATTCTTTCTTCTGCTTGGTCAATTCGGCTATTGAAACTTGTGCATGCTTTGCGAAGTTCTTGTATTGTGTTTCTCAGCTCCTTTAATTCATTCATATTCCTCTCTAAGTTATCCATTCTTGTTATCATTTCCTCAAATCTTTTTTCAAATCTTTTCTCAAGGTTCTTAGTTTCTTTGCATTGATTTAATACATGATCTTTTAGCTCACAGAAGTTTCTCATTATCCATCTTCTGAAGTCTAATTCCGTCATTTCGTCACAGTCATTCTCCGTCCAGGTTTGTTCCCTTGCTGGTGAGGAGTTTTGGTCCTTTCTAGGAGGTGAGGTGTTCTGGTTTCGGGTGTTTTCCTCCTTTTTGCGCTGGTTTCTTCCCATCTTTGTGGATTTGTCCGCTGGTCGTCTGCGTAGTTGCTGACTTTTCGATTGGGTCTCTGAGTGGACACCCTGAATGTTGATGATGAAGTATTTCTGTTGCTTGGTTTTCCTTCTACCTGTCTAGCCCCTTCGCTGTATGACTGCTGAGGTCCGCTCCAGACCCTGCTTGTCTGGGGTGCACCTCTAGCAGCTGTGGCACAGCAAGGGATGCTACCAGTTACTTTTTCTGCTATCCTTGTCCCAGGATGGTGCCGTCCTAATGTCAGTCTTTTGGATATAGAGGGGTCAGGGAGCTGCTTGAGGAGACAGTTTGTACTTTATAGGGGTTTAATTGCTGAGCTGTGAGCTGTGTTGTTCATTCATGGCTGTTAGGCTTCTATGTTTGATTCTGCTGCAACAGAGCTCATTAAAAAAACCCTTTTTTTCTCAAATGCTCTGTGTTGAGGGGTTTGGGCTTTATTTTTGGATTTCCGTTGAGGTCCTGCCCAGCTAGAATGCAGACTCGCCACTGTTTGCCTGCCGAGGCTCCGCCCTGCTGTTGTGAGGCTCACCCTGGCTCCGCTGTTCTGCTGTTCTCCGCCACGCCCTGTGGCGGAGTCTCTCTGTTGTAGCATGTTGCCTCGGCAATGGCTGGCTGCGTCAGCAGTGGGCGTGTATCTCAGTAGGGACGGGTTGCCTCGGCAACGGCTGGCTGCGTCAGCAATGGGCGTGTATCTTAGTTGGGGCGGGTTGCCTCGGTAATGGTGGCCGCCCCTCCCCCTCAGTGCGTCTCGTGCCGTCTGCACGGGGCTTGTTTGAAATCGCAGTTTTGTTCGTCCCACTGGGCCAATCCTAATGCTCTGTTCCTCCAATCCCCTGGGCTGGCCCACTGTCCAAGTCTAGCTCAGTCTCAAGTCCAGCCCTCTCACGTCTCCAGTTGCCAGTTCAATGGGGCACCCGGACAAGTGCGCCCTGTGGGGAGTGCTGGGTAGGGCCGGCGGCCGCCACCCTGGCTGCCGGCTTTGCCAGGCGGAATATCTGCCTGGCCTCCCACATCTCCTCTTCACTTGGGAATTTCCCCGTTCCGTGGGCAACAAAGATTAGTCTGGAAATGCAGCTCAGACTCACCTCTCCGCAGACACAATGAGAACTCCGATCCTGGGTTGTTCTCACAGTGCCATCTTGAGTCAGAACCTGCATACATTTTTAAAACATGCAAAACAACTTGTTTACAGATGCATATGTATTAAAATGTGAAAAATACATGGAGGTGATAAAACAGGATAGTGGTTGCTTCCTGGGTGTGGAGGGAGGGTAGATATGCATATTGGAAGTGTGAGTCAGAGTTCTTCATATTGTTTATGCTATTATTTTCCAAAAGTCCATAAAAATAAAGGTCTATCCATTTGATTTTATTCTGCTATTACATAATTCTTGAAATATTTTGTAGTTGTTTTTATCAGAACTCAAAGTAACTATGTTCTCTAGAAGACAAAATTTGTTCTTAAAGTGTTTATATTGTCCAAATAAAATTCTCAGGTAAAGAAAGAGTTTGTGCCTAATTTTGTCTACATACTTTCCATAGAATCTTAAAACAATTTCTTTTATCTTTTTTTTGTAGATTGTAGATGTCTTCATGGAATACAATCTAATTCAGTAATGTTCTGCATTATCGATATGCTGAAGAAAATTTGCCCTTCTGAAGGTCCCTTACAGATGCGATTACTTGAGATGAACCTTATGCATGCACCTCAAGTATGTGTTCTAATGCTTTTTAGGCATGTTTCCAACATTGCTTTAATAATCGTGCAGAGCATCTCAGATTGTTATTCAAAGCTACTGAGATGCCTGCTCCTTATATAAGAACATTTAGCTATTATATATTCTTTTGTCCTTCCTTTTACCAGTTCACTATTAAGCATTAATATGTAATATGAATATTGAATTACTCACATAAATGGGATGAACAATCAACCTACCTTGTTTGTGGCTTTACAGGTTGCAGATGCTATTCTAGGCAATCAGATGTTCATGCATTATGACTGGGCTCATATTGCTCAGCTGTGTGAAAAGCCTGGCCTACTGCATCGTGCGTTAGAACCCTTCACTGATTTATATGATATAAAATGTGCAGTGGTTTGCACCCATCTTCTTAACCCCGAGGTATTTTAGTTTCTTACCTAATAAATGGTGTTAATTGTGATTAATACGCACACTGAAAATGTGTTTGTGGTACTAAATATTAATAATTTCATACCTCCATAAGTTTCAGCACGGTTTCATTTATTCATTCATTCATTCATTTTGTCTTGTAGTGGTTAGTGAATTACTTTGGGTCCTTATCAGTAGAAGATTCCCTAGAATGTCTCAGAGCCATGCTATCTGCCAATATTCATCAGAATCTGAAGATCTGTGTTCAGGTGGCTTCTAAATATCATAAACAACTGTTAACTCAGTCTCTGATTGAACTTTTTGAATCTTTTAAGTGTTGAAGGTAATAAGGAGTTTTTGAGTTTGTAAAGAGTACTTAAGATAGCCGAGATAAGCATATATATAGTATGCTTATAATCAGGCTATTGGAAATTTTTTCTTTCTAAAAATTTGGTTCTATGGAACATTTTAATTTTTTCAGTTTTATTATTCAATAAATGCTGTTGGTCAGGCATGGTGGCTCACACCTGTAATCCCAGCACTTTGGGAGACTGAGGCGGGCAGATCACAAGGTCAGGAGATCAAAACCACCCTGGCCAACATGGTGAAATCCTGTCTCTACTAAAAATACAAAAATTAGCTGGGCACGGTGGTGTGTGCCTGTAATACCAGCTACTGAAGGTTGAGGCAGGAGAATTGCTTGAACCCGGGAGTCAGAGGTTGCAGTGAGCTGAAATTGCGCCACTGCATTCCAGCCTAGTGACAGAATGAGACTCCATCTCAAAACAAATAAAAAAATATAAAATAATATTGTCAAGGCCCTTTTATATTGAATCCTAAGGATATGCAGTGAAGAATACCATCTTTTTGGATATTTTATAGATGAGTTAAGGTAGAATTTTTATAGAAAAATATGTAGTGATGTTTAAATGGTATAAAATGAAAATGCAGGTTGAGTGTTCCTAATCTGAAAATCCAAAATGTGTCAAAGTTCAAAACCTTTTGAGTTCAAAGGAAATGCTCATTGGAGCATTTCAGAAATTGGATTTTCAGATTAGGGATGTTGATCACGTAAACATAATGTGAATATTCTAAAGTTCAAAATCTGAAACATGTCTGGTCCCAAGCATTTAAATAAGGGATACTCAATCTGTATAAGGGATACTCAATCAGGTATAATAACATTTTATGCTTATATGTCTGACTCTTATAATGGCAGGTGATTCTAGCCAAGGACATTTTGTGGTTTGTCACTGTTTAGCAGGATTTCTCAACCTTAGAACTAAATAGACATTTACGGCTAAACAATCATCATAAGAAGGTATTCCCATACATGTAGAATATTTAATAGAATATTTAGCCACATTCCTGGTTTCTGCCCGCTAGATGCCCATCAGCCCCAGTTGTGACAACCAAAAATGTCTTCAGACATTGTCAAATGTCACCTGTGAGGAAAATCACCTCAATTGAGAACTACGGCTTTACAGGGTACTAACATAATCACTGTTGGGTGACTAAGCTCTGGTCCCTAATTAACTTTCTCTCCTCCTTTTAGTAGTAGTGCTCTATTGAGAAGGGGTAGGAGATTCTACTAACTAGTTTTTAAAGTTTCCCAGTTTCAAAAATGTTAACTATGCACTAAATTTACACTTGTTTAGTACAGTAGACACTATCCACATGTAGTACCTATTGCCATTGAAAGTTATTAAAATATAAAATTTAATGTGTAGTTACTCTGTCAATCTAGCCACATTTCAAGTGCTTAATAGCCACATGTGGTTAGTGGTTTTACATCGGAGGGCAAAGATAAGATTTTTATCATTTCAGAAAGTGCTTCTGAACAATACTACACTAAATTCTTCCCAAATTATTTTGTATGTTTCCTGTCAACTACATATTGAAAAACACTAGGTATTGGGGTCTTCATTTAAAATTTTCCATGTAAGGGCACAGTGGTTTGTACCTTTAAATGCCAGTGCTTTGGGAGGCAGAGGCAGGAGGATTGCTTGAGGCCACAAACTCAAGACATAGCAAGACCCCATCTTTACCAAAGTTTCTTAAAAATTAGCCTCGCATCATGGCGTGCACCTGCCGAGCTACTCGGGAGGTTGAGGTGGGAGGACTGCTTGAGCCCAGTACTTCATGGCTGCAGTGAACTATGATCATGCCACTGTACCGGAGCCTGGGTAACAGAGACCTGTCTCAGTAAAAAGGAAAAAAAGGAAACATTGGCTTGAATTGTCCATTCTTTAGGATTAAAGTGCAAATCCATTTTACTGATCTGATCAATGGAATAATTAGTATTTTTATTGAACTTTTTAAGCAACCAGTTTATATTTGGGAGTATTCAATGGAACAGTTTTTTAATTGCATAAATATTTTTCAGTCATTCTCAAAAGTGTTCCTATGCTTAATTGTAATTACTTGCTTCTTTTAAGGTCTCTTTTATTTTCTGGGATCCATTGTTAACTTTAGTCAGGACCCAGATATGTACTTAAAATATATTCAGGCAGCTTGCAAGACTGGGAAAATCAAAGAAGTAGAAAGAATCTGTAGAGAAAGTAACTGCTATGATCCTGAGAGAGTCAAGAATTTCCTTAAGGTAAGTGGTTTTGAGTAATGTGTTTTCCGGTTGGATTCCAGATCAGCAGTTCTACAGGGGTGTGGTTGTAGTTCAAAAATATTTTTTCCTAAATGTGAAATTCTTAGCACTCTTTAAGTTATGTACTGGATTATTTCTTCCAAACATAATGCTCTGAGGTTTGCTTTGAAATACAGAAGGAAATTGGTGAATAAGAATGTCCATCTGTTTAAAAGAAAAAAAATAGCACTATTTCAAAGGAATTTCCTTTGTTTTAATTTTGGACGGCAAAATTTTGAAAAGTGATTGTATACTTTCAATGTCATTTTAGAATCACGTAGGCTTTTGAATATTAACATCAGGTTGCCCTTCACATCATTTTGAGGACAAAGGGATTGTTGTCTCTATTGTAGACAAAGGGATCTGTTGTCTAAGAAATATATACATTTACCTCTTTCAAGTTTGCCCAACTCTAGAAACTGAAATATTATTTGTATGTAATTCATAAATTAAAGATAAGATCAAACAAAAAAAGCTCAGCTTTGTGACACATGAAATCAGTTACAGAGAAGTAAGAACCACCTGTGTTGCAGGGATGAGTAATGGTTGAGAGATTCTGAACTCTGGAAGATCCCTAAGGGCAGTTAATTTTGTTTAATGTTTAACTTAGCTTTAGCTTTATTCTTGTAACTGCCAGTTACTTTGTGAGGGAAATAAATTGTCAAAGTTGACAGCTATCTGTAAAAGACCAGGAAAACTGTAGAACACTTAGATTACTGCTCTCTCACTGCCTAGTATGTGTGTGTGTGTAATATATATAATATACATACACTTTATAAAGTTCTGAAGCATTTTCTGTTTTAGAAGAATTTTAAATTACAAGTGAAACCAAAATGTTTATTGTATAATACAGTACAAAGAGTAGGCTTTTTCTGCTCCCAAACTCATCATTTGTGCCTGTGTATGCATTGGGAGATAGTCCTTTTGAAGAATTTGCTACCTAGGCTCTAGACTAAATAGCAAAACCCTTAGGGGTTTTAGTGTAATGGAGTAGTCAAAATGTTGAAATTGCTGTACATGTTAGGTTAAAAGATACACTTTTCAAAAAAGCATAGCTTTATAAAGTCTTGGCCATCAAGAATATTCTGGGTAACCTAGTTAGTATGAGACTTTTAGACCAAAATTTTCTGGTGTCAGAAAACCCCTCTGAATGAGAAAGATTTGATACTCTATGCTTGTCTAGTGTACCCATACTACTGATTCACTTCCTTGAGAATCATTACCATTTCCATTTTTAAAAAACAAATACTACTAGATTCTTTCGGGGGGCAGGGGCTGTTATTTTTGTTGTTTTTCTTTTTAAGCTTTTAAGTTCAGGGGTGCATGAGCAGGTTTGTTATATAGGTAAACTTGTGTCATGGGGATTTGCTGTACAGATTGTTCTGTCACCCAGGTATTAAACCTACCACCCATTAGTTATTTTTCCTGATTATTTCCCTCCTCCCACCTCCACTCTTCGGTAGGCCCCAGTGTGTATTGTTCCTCTTTGTGTCCATGTGTTCTCATCATTTAGCTCCCACTTACTAGTAGGAACGTACAGCATTTAGTTTTCTGTTCTGCTGTTAGTACTACCAGATTCTTACATGATTTCTTTTTATTGAGCCCTCAGATTTTATGCTTAAATGTAACTTCGTTAGCTTTGGATTTTAATATTTGAGTTATATATATGGAAGGCAAATGAAATTAACTATTACTTAATTGTAACATTCTTGAGTTTTTTAAAAAAATCCTCTAGTAAAGAAAAAACAATCCTCTGGGTACTAGGATGGCACTGCCTTAGGTTTGTATAGCCCACGGGATCTGATCAGATGAAGATTTCCCCTCCACACTTGTGAATTAGGTGCAAGCCTGATATAGTAGGGGTGTGGATGTGGATTATGAGCTTTTGAGTCAGTCAAACCTGTTTCAAAGTCTACTTAGCTATTGCTTGTTCATTCAGTATGTGTCTGGCTGTTACCTCAGGCAAGTTAATGAATGTGCTTCAGCCTCAGTTTCTTCAACCATAGGCTATGTTTGTTTACCAAGTGCCTGTGTGCTATAAATGTTTAGACAGTAACTATTACTGATAAGTGATAGGCCTTGGGAAAAAGGTGGAGTGAGCCTAAATGGGATTTCTGTTAGGCAAGTATTTATTTCTCTGATTTTAAGTCATACCTGACTCTTTGAAGAAATTTACTTCCAGCCAGGATTAAAGGTAGATTTTAGTGTCTTATATTTACATAATTTGAGATGGGAGCTCAATACTGAGATGCAACTATCATATTCATCCTCTGATGCCAGTGTTGAGAATGAATATATTAGACTGTTAACCTGTAGTACATGGTTACAATGCCTCTTATCACTGTTCTTAAGCTTAATTTTAGAGGTACTAGCTACATGATAATTTACTGATGTTGTGTGTAAACCCTATGTCATAAGAAAAATCCTCTGACTTTAATCTTGACTATTTGAGTGCCAATTGTGTGCTAACCACCGGGAATAAAGAGACTGGTAGAACATAACTTCTCCTTTAAGGTTCCCTGTAAGCAGGATAAAATTGTATCATTAGTATCATTTGGCTCCCGCCCTAAGTTTGTAAACTGTAAGCTTTCTGTAGAAAGCATGTAACTGTTCATCAGACCCATGATCTGCTCCTTGCTACCTTTGATCTTATTTTCTACCTTTCTTTCTTTCCTTCCTGGTTTAGCTTCAGCCACACTGGCCTGCTTGCTATTCCTGGATCTCCCCCAAAACTGTCCTACCCAAGAGCCTTTGCTTGTGCCTTGCACTACTATTTTCTCATGACCTCCTTTACCTTCTTTGGGTTTCTGGTTGAATGTTGTAAGAGAGGAGGTCTCAGGTTGCCCTGTGTAAAATAGAACCCATGCCTACCCCAATTTGCTTCTTTTTCTTTATAACACCACTATGAGACATCTTTTCCAACTAGAATGTAAGTTCCTGGAGAGAATGGACTCTGCTTCCCTTGTTCCCTGCTATATCTCCAGTACCTAAGAACAGAGCCTGATACTTAGGTACTCATAAATATTTGTTAGATGAACAAATATATTTTGAAGAAAACCTCTATGTTAATATAATTTCAAGTTTGATCTTAAAATCTTTAACCATTATAACTGGGGGTAAATTAAACATTTAGTAAGTAATTTAATATTATTAAAGTGTTAATAACATTTCTACCATGTATAAAACCACGTGCAAACTAGCAATTAACAAAATAACCTAGATTTTGTCTACTTTTTAAATCTGAAATTTTCTTTTGGAATACAGTTAGTGTTCCACACAAGTGGATTTATTTGCCACGGAAGTTTAAGCACCTATGCATGATAACAGAATACTAGATTATTTGTAAGTGATAAAGTACACAATATTTTATATGTGTGTAGATAAGATGACTAGTGTGTTGATCCATACTTTTTTGATGTTCATTTAGTAGGCAAAACATGACATACTAAAATGTTTACATAGATACAGATTCCAGAAATTCTAGAAACAGCTATTACTACAGAGTTTTCATGTTGTTAAACAATACTTGCTTCAGACCTTTCTTATTGTAGAAAATCTGCACCTTTACAGACATTAGTTTCTAACCCATGGTGGCTAAATTAAAGATTTACCTTGGTGTTCTTTGGAACACTTCATAGAATAGTCTTTGTGTTATTTATAATTGAACAACTAATATCCTCTAGTCTCAGGAGCCATTTTATTCTACCCTTGAAAATAATGTTCTTAGTGAGTTCTACCGCACTTCATTCTACTTCCCTAGTAGACTGTTAGAGGACTCATTTATTGAGGAATGTTTCACTGTGTATAAATGAATTCCTGATGGATGGAAACTGTTGGTTTTTGTGCTTTACCTTATGTCTGTGGAATGTAACAGGACATGTATCAGGTAAATGCCCAGTACAGGTTTTACTTACCTTGTCTATAACATCTTCTGTTTCAATCTATAAGTAAGATTGTAGCTTGGTATCTGTAATGGTAAAAGCAGTTGGCAATCTAAAGATGTCTTGTCTTTAAATGCTGGGGTTTTTTTGGCATTTTTCTTATGGTCACATGTGGTCACTATTATGCTGCTCCTTGTAGGCTTTGTTATAATAGAATATTAGAGGCTGGTTGTATAGATTGGATTTGGGGAGGGATAGAATATCATTAGTTTGAAACAAATGTGAGCAACTTATGCCATGTATTTTGACAACGTGACTGTAGTTATTAAATTGATTTCCAATACAGTTGAAGTATTATTACTGATGAACGTCCCAGTGTGGTAAATTTATCATCTGAGAGCCATTGCTGGCTCAAATATCTTAATTTGTTACTCTTGTTTTTTGGTAAAGGGTGCATATGGGAAAGACCAGAAAGACCTGGTATCTTGCTGTGTGAATCTACGGATTGCTTAGTAAAGTTTCACTGAAGCTGAAATGTACATACTCAACTGTCGGAACATTTCCTTCTTTAACAGAGAGCCATGTTTGTGTGAGCCTCTTGTCAGTGTAGAACAGATGCTCATATTTAACATAGATTTGATACCTCAAAGGAGGAGAAAATTAAAACTTCCTTTTGTTTGCCTTTTTTCAGGAAGTGAAATTAACATATCAGCTACCACTTATCATTGTGTATGATAGATTTGATTTCCTCCATGATTTGGTGCTCTATTTATATAGAAATAATCTTCAAAAGTATATAGAGATATATGTACAGAAAGTAAGTAATATGTAGGTAATCTAAAGGTATAATCTTACTATAGATTTTGTTTCTCATATTCTGGAAATCATTTTGACTGTGCTCAATAAGAGTGGTCTGAAGCTTTTAACATAAGTTTTGTTTGTTTGTTTTGAGACAGGGTCTTGCTCTGTCACCCACCCTGGAATGCAGTGGCACAATCGGCCCATTCTAACCTTAAACTCCTGGGCTCAAGTAATTCTCCTGCCTTAGCCCCCCAACTATTTGGGACTGCAGGTGAATACTACCATGCCCAGCTGCTTTTAATACTTTTTCCCAAGCAGAATCCTTTCTTGGATTAAAATTCTACATGCTTTCCTAGGAAGCTAATTGAGGGAAGGGGAAAAAAAACATGCATGCCAAGTGTGTAAAATAGAGTAGAACTAGTATTGTTGAAAAAGTTGGGTGGCCTAGGGTCCTACTAACTTGATAGGCCCTGAGGTATCCGTATAGAAGCCCTAGACTCCAAAGCAGAGTTTTCAAACCATCGTAAATACAGATATAAAATACTTCACCTTCTAACTGTAAAAACAGGCAGTATTGCTATAATGTGAGCCTTTTTATTAGGTAGTCTTGCATAGTCATCTTTGACTAATTTCTTTGAATTTATTTATCATATGGAACAATGCTTGGGTAACTAATTAACCAATCCAGTAGAGAGAGAATACAGTATATGTGCTTTTGATACTTATTAAACCATAAAGCCTTGTTTTTAGCTGGACCTCCTGCTTACTTCCTTTATCTAGTTGCAAATTTAAACTCTCACTTTATTACTGAATTTAAAAACTGAACTTAAAGAAAAAACTGAGCTTAAAAGAGATAAATTAGAGATAATTTTTAAAATTATTCTTTGCTTTTCTTATTAACATAATAACATTCTTCTGCTCTTTTTTTCTAACCACAGATGAATCCAAGTCAACTTCCCATGGTTACTGGAGGATTACTTGATGTTGACTGTTCTGAAGATGTCATAAAAATTTTAATTCTGGTTTTAAGAGGTCAATTCTCCACTGATGAACTTGTTGCTGAGGCTGAAAAAAGAAACAGGTGTAAGTTCTTTTCTTTAAGGATGTTGAATATTGGCTCCCACTCTCTTCTGGCTTGTAGGGCTTCTGCCAAGAGATCTGCTGTGAGGACCTAGAAATAGAAATTCCATTTGACCCAGCAATCCCATTATTGGGTATATATCCAAAGGACTATAAATCATTCTACTATAAGGACACATGCACACGAATGTTCATTGCAGCCCTGTCTACAATAGCAAAGACCTGGAACCAACCCAGATGCCCATCAATGATAGACTAGACAAAGAAAACGTGGTACATGTACACCATGGAATACTACACAGCCCTAAAAAATGATGAGTTCGTGTCCTTTGTAGGGACATGGATGAATCTGGAGAACATCATTCTTAGCAAACTGACACAAGAACAGAAAATGAAATGCCACATATTCTCACTCATAGGTGGGTGATGAACAATGAGAACACATGGACACAGGGAGGGGAGCACTACACACTGGGGTCTATTGGGGGGAACAGAGGAGATACAATGGGGGATGGGGAGGGATAATATGGGGAGAAATGCCACATATAGTATGCACCTAAAGCAAAATAAATAAATTAAAATGAAGAAACAGGTGTAGTGCCATTTTAACAGGGATAAGTTAGTCTCTCTTAGTATGGTACTAGATAAAGATATAGGTAGCCAGTTGTTCCAAAGCTACTCAATAACATGGAGACTAATTTCCTGAAGACAACAAATGTAGAGGTGGTAAACTAGCTGATAGCACCAGAAAAATGTCAGAAACATTATAGCTGTCATAGGAAATCTGTTAACCTGGTTATTTTTTGGCAGCATGTTTATAATAACAGCTATGTGGTTTGACTTTATATGTTTTTAATATAAACTATGTAGTAAGTCTCCTGCTTAGTTAGGTGTGATAACAATATATTTAACAACTAATGCTTTACTGATTAAATAGTGTGGTGTTTTCAACCTGAGAAAGCTGATTTAAAAAAAAATAGTGTGGTGTTTGCTCGAGAATGAGACAAAGGTTCCCTGTGCAACTCTTGAGTTAAACTGATGTTTAATTTATAGTGCCTTAATATGACAATATGGATTTCCAATAGAATATAGTGTCAGTGCTTGTAAAACTCACAGACTGTAAAGTCTTTTTTTAGCTTGAACATTCTGAGGAACTAGTGTTTAGGAAGTACTGATGTCATAAATGAGGTTGGTGAGGTGAGGTGGTATGCTAGTGGAAAGTTCCACTATTTATAGAGAAGAAATTAAGAAAGCCTGTGGGATTTAATTTTAACCTGAGTTGGTATAGGTGACCTACTAATTATATTCTTACAATTTCTATTAGAATGTTTTTCTTTTTTTTCCCCACAATCAATGCTTCAAAATAGAATGTTTCAAACATGGAAAAATTTTGCATTTAAGGGTAATAGAGATATACAGTTAATACTGACTTAAAGGTTTGAGCCTAGTTTCAAGTGATTTTATGTCATAACAATTTAATATTTAAAAAGAGGTTCAGTTGAGTCTTAAATCTATTACCTGAAAATATTCTTCTTGCATATCCAAGCACATGGCAGTTATGATTAGATAATTTAGTCTTTAAGTGACAAATTATATGGTGAAAAGCTAGATTCATATCTAAGTCACTAGTCTACACATGCTTTAGCTAATTTTTATTCTTTAAGTTGACATGGCACATACTGGATTGCACATGTTTAGAGGAGCCAGATTTTTGCCTCTATTTATTAAAATTAAGTATCTTCTCCCTAAGGGGAGTGTTCATAATAACTATATGTATTTGATAGCCAAAATAACAGAATAATGCTTTTTCTCTGGCTGCTGTTAATGTTTAAATCATTGGTAAAAGACACTTGGGCCACACATGGTGGCATGTGACTGTAGTCCCAACTTCTCGGGAGGGTGAGGCAAGAGGATCTCTTGAGCCCAGGAGGTCAGGGCTGCAGTAAGCCATGTTCCTACCACTGCACTACAGCTTGGGCAGCATAAGAACCTCTCTTTAAAATAAAAATAAAATTAAAAATAGAAGGCATGGTCATCAGGACTATCAAAACAAGCTATACTATAGCAAAACTGCTCCTTGATGGAGTGTATATATGACAGCTACAACTATTAAATCCAGAGCTTCTAAAGCTACCAAATTTTATTGCCAGTATGTATTTAGAGTTTGGCTGTAGGTAATGCTGTATGTTAATTGTGTTAAGAGCTGAAAGAACTCTCAGATAATCTGGCCTATGTGATATCACATCCCCATCCTATCCATAAACAAAATGTTCTAAAGTCTAGATATTTTGTGTGTTAGAAAGAAAGGACACTGTGAATCTCTAAACCTTTATTCAGATATAAGCAGGTAGTTATATCATATAGCAGATAAATCTGGGAGAGTGAAAATAGTCTTATATGCCTTATTTTTATTCTTGGGCAATTCAATTATCTTTTGAGTCTGAATTTCCCAATTTGTAATAGGATCATTGAGTATTAAAATTAATGTAAAGCCAGGCACAGTGGTGTGCACCTGTAGTGCCAGCTACTCAGGAGGCTGCGGTACTAAGATTACTTGAGCCCAAGGCTGTAGTGCACAATGACTGTGACTGTGAACAGCCACTGCACTTCAGCCTAGGAAATGTAGTGATAATCAAGGGGAAGAAAAAAATGTATGTGAAAGCACATTATAGACCATAATGTATTTACATAGTCTGCATGTCAAGAGTACATAATACAGTATGTGTGTGGAAGGTTTTTTCCCTTTTTCCAAGATTGAAACTACTTCTTCCTTGGCTAGAGGCCAGAATACATGAGGGCTCTGAAGAGCCTGCTACTCACAATGCCTTAGCAAAAATCTATGTAGACAGTAATAGCAGCCCAGAGAGATTTCTTCGTGAAATCTCTACTATGACAGTCACATTGTTGGAAAGTATTGTGAGAAGAGAGATCCACATCTGGCCTGTATTGCTTATGAATGTGGTCAATGTGATTTGGAACTTATTGATGTGAGTACTGCTGACTGAACATGTAAAAAGAAGGCTGCATTTTAAAAAACCTAATATATGGGAGTTTCAGGGTGATTTTAGGTAATATGGGACATTTGGGGATAGTGGGTACTTTCTTAAAACTTTATTTGGAAATTGTGAATCTGAAAGTGCCCAAATAGTGGATTAAAGTCTACGTACCCGGGAGGCTGAGGCGGGTGGATCACGAGGTCAAGAGATCAAGACCATCCTGGTCGACAAGGTGAAACCCCGTCTCTACTAAAAATACAAAAAATTAGCTGGGCATGGTGGCGTGTGCCTGCAGTCCCAGCTACTTGGGAGGCTGAGGCAGGAGAATTGCCTGAACCCAGGAGGCAGAGGTTGCAGTGAGCCAAGATTTGCGCCATTGCACTCCAGCCTGGGTAACAAGAGCAAAACTCCGTCTCAAAAAAATAAAAAGTCTACATACCCATTATTTTGATTGACCTGTTAATGTTTTAACCCCACTAGTTTTATCATTTGTGTTCTCACACTTACACACAGGCACACATACACCATTCATACATGTGTATACACACACATAGAATTTTTTAACCATGTGTGAATAAGTTGAAGGCATCATGGCCTTATACCCCTTCAGAGTGTATGGTGTAAGAATAATGATATTATCTTTCATTAACCACATTAAAGATACCAGCTTCAGTCAGTTTGACATTGATAGGATACCTTTAAAAATCTGTTAAATTCTAGTTTTGTCAATTAACCAATGATGCCCTTTGTAGCAGTTTTTTCCCCTCTAGACTGATGTCATATAAACATATGGCATGCAGTTTTCACGTTCTTTAGTCTCCTTTACTCTGGAATGGTTCTTCAGTCTTTTGTTTTTTTTTGACTCTGGTATCTTTGTAAACAATCATTGCTTTTTCTATTTGTAACTATTTTATCTAGGAAAAATTTAAGGCAATATCAAATTAACCATTTTAAAGTGTACAATTCAGAGTCATTCAGTACATTCACAATGTTATATAATCACCTTTATCTAGTTCCCAGTTTTCATCACTTCCAAAGGAAACCCTGTGTTCATTAAACAATTTCTCCACATACCCCCTCTTCCCAGCCCCTGGCAACCACCAGATTATACTCTGTCTCTGTGGATTTACCTGTTCTCTATATTTCATTTAAATGTAAAGTCTCTTTAAAAAATAGAATGTGTCAACCAGGCACGGTGGCTCACTCCTGTAATTCCAGAGCTTTGGGAGGCTGAGGTGGGCAGATCATGAAGTCAAGAGATCGAGACCATCCTTGCTAACATGGTGAAACCCTGTCTCTACTAAAAATAGAAAAATCACACAAGCATCGTGGTGCACACCTATAAGATCCCAGCTGTGGCCAGGTGTGGTGGCTCACACCTGTAATCCCAGCACTTGGGAAGACCAAGGCGGGTGGATCACCTGAGGTCAGGAGTTGAAGACCAGCCTTGCCAACATGGTGAGACACCATCTCTATTAAGAATGTAAAAAAATTAGCCAGGTGTGGTGGTGGGTACCTGTAATCCCAGCTACTCTCAAGGCTGAGGCAGGAGAACTACTTGAACCCAGGAGGCAGAGATTGCAATGAGCTGAGTTTGTGCCACTATACTCCAGCCCAGGTGGCAGTGTGGGACTCCATCTCAAAAAACAGAAAGTCCCTCACAGGTTCTTACTCTTTATTTTTTAAAATTATTATTTATTTATTTATTTTAAAAAGGATCTTACTCTACACATTGCCTAGAGTGCAGCAGCACAATCTTGGCTCACTGCAGCCTCAAACTCCCAGGCTCAAGGAATACTCCCACCTCAGCCTCCCAAAGTGCTGTTGTTACAGGCATGGGCCACTCTGTCTGACCCAATTTTTTCTTTTAATTTTTAGAGATATGGTTTAATTCTGTCACCCAGGTGGGAGTGATGTGGCATGGTCATAGCTCACTGCATCCTCAATAACCCGGGCTCAAGCAATCCTCCTACCACAACCTCTCAAGTAGCTGGGACTAGCAGCATGTACTACCATGCCCAGCTATTTACAAAATTTCTTTTTTGGTAGACACTGGGTCTTGCTATGTTGCCCTGGCTGGTCAACACCTAACTTCAAGCAGGCCTCCCAACTTGGCCTCTTAAGTGCTGGGATTACAGGTGTAAGCCACTGTGCCCAGCCTTCTATTATTCCTTAAAGTCCCAATTCCTTTTGTGGTCTATCAGGTCCCATATAATTAGAGCCCACTTCCCTCTCCTAGCTAATCTCTCTACATCCCCCTTCTTTCCCTATGACCACATACCCTGAGCTGCTGCCATTCTGAACTGGCCAGCACCTCTTCCCATGTCAGGCACTAGCTCAGATATCACTTTCTCTGGAAAAGTTCCCAAACCTCCAAGTGAGGTTTTCAGGCTCTCTCAGCACCTAGATTTTCTAGCTCTAGCCTATTTAAGTGCATGAAGCTTCATGAAGGCAGGAACCATGTTTACTCTTGTATCCTAAGTACCTAGAATAATGCCTGAGATATGGTATGTACTCAAAACATATTTTCTTTCTTTACTTTTTTTTTTTGGTTGAGACAGGATCTGTCACCCAGGCTGGAGTGCATTGGTGTCATCTCAAGCTTACTGCAACCTCTGCTTCCCAGGCTTAATCGATCCTTCTGCCTCAGCCCCTCAAGCAGGTGTGCACCACTGCACCTGGCCAAGTTTTTGTTTCTTCCTGCATTTTCTGTAGAGATGTTTCTCCATGTTTCCCAGGCTGGTCTTGAGCCCCTGCACTCAAGTGATCTGCCTGCTTCAGCCTCCCAAAGTGTTAGGATTACAGGAATAAGCCATCATGCCTGGCCTCAAAACATACGCCTTTTTTTTTTTTTTTTTTGAGAAGTTTCACTCTTGTTGCCCGGCCTGGAGTGCAATGGTGCAATCTTGGCTCACTGCCGCCTCCACCTCCTGGGTTCAAGTGATTCTCCTGCCTCAGCCTCCCAAGTAGCTGGGATTACAGGTACTCCCCACCACAAGTGACTAATCTTTTTCTATTTTTAGGAGAGATGGGGTTTCATCATGTTGGCCAGATTGGTCTTGAACTCCTGACCTTCAGGTGATCCACTCACCTCGGCCTCTCAAAGTGTTGGGATTACAGGCATGAACCACTACACCCGGCCAAAAAATAATTTCAAAATAAGTGAACATATGAATTTGTTTAAACATTCATCTATTCTACCATTCCATGGTAAGCTCTCCTGATTTATATATCCCATGACCTAGCAATGTTTGCCTAATGCAAAGTAGGTACCAAATGGGTGTTTATTCATTATTGGGCTTCAGTTTTCTCATTATAAAATTATTTTTCTAAAAAAGAAAAATTATTTTTCTAAAAAGGAAAGAAGACTACAAGGGAATCTTTGAAATGTATGGGAATATTTACGGAAATGAGAGCTCCAACTAGCAGAAAGGCTGTCAATCATCACAAACTGGGGCCGGGCGCGGTGGCTCATGCCTGTAATCCCAGCACTTTGGGAGGCCGAGGCAGGTGGATCACGAGGTCAAGAGATTGAGACCATCCAGGTCAACATGGTGAAACCCCATCTCTACTAAAAATACAAAAAATTAGCTGGGCATGGTGGCATGTGCCTGTAATCCCAGCTACTCAGGAGGCTGAGGCAGGAGAATTGCCTGAGCCCAGGAGACAGAGGTTGCGGTGAGCCGAGATTGTGCCATTGCACTCCAGCCTGGGTAACAAGAGCGAAACTCCATCTCAAAAAAAAAAAATCATCACAAACTACGAAATGGAGGCAGAGTAGAGGGGGTTGAATGACAACTCTGTCAGAAGAGGGTGGGAAATAAAAGTAGTTAAAAGGAGAGAAACAGTCATCTATGGTAGCTAATATTTTATATTCAATTACCTTATTTTTCTCAGGCAATAGTATAAATACTACCGTTGCTGAAAATGACTAATATTCAGATGTAAAAGGAAAGAAAAGCACACTGCCATGTGTGTTCCTACGCAACTGTCTTGCATGCTCTGCTCATGTACCCCAAAACCTAAAATCCAATAAAAAATTAAAAAAAAAAAGATGCTTAATACTGTCACCTCTGTGAGGCCCTAAACCATGAGAAATTTTGATTCATGTAGATTGTTAGCTACAGTGAAAGAAAAGGTTACAAATGAGTAAAAAGAAAAATTGCCTTAAAATCATTACCAGTCCTCACCATGCTTTTGGAGACTCTCCTTAAGTTCTGGCTTGGAAGCCATGGTGTTTTCTGTATCCTCTTCCAAAACAGGGGAGCTTACAGATGGATCAGAAACTCCATGTGGTTTCAGGACAGCAGCTGGACCATCAATACCTAGGGGTCAAAATAAAATAAATTTTTTTTTTTGAGACGGAGTTTCACTCTTGTTACCCAGGCTGGAGTGCAATGGCGCATTCTCGGCTCACTGCAACCTCCGCCTCCTGGGTTCAGTCAATTCTCCTGCCTCAGCCTCCCAGGTAGCTGGGATTACAGGCATGCGCCACCATGCCCAGCTAAGTTTTGTATTTTTAGTAGAGACGGGGTTTCACCATGTTAACCAGGATGGTCTCGATCTGTTGACCTCGTGATTCACCCACCTCAGCCTCCCAAAGTTCTGGGATTACAAAAATAAATTTTAAAAAAGGAGCAAAGTATTATTCACTATTTAGTTGGGTAGATTTGGCATATGTGATCAGAATTGAGAAGTACTAAATCATTTTATTTCCCCTCCTTTCTTAACATCCATAAGAACATTTCATAAGAGAGTAGGTCAGAACTGGTGTTCTTTTTTTCTGAGACAGGATCTTACTCTGTCACCTAGGCTGGAAAGCAGTGGTGTAATCACAGCTCACTGTAGCCTTGACTTCCTGGGCTCAAGCAATCCTCCCACTTCAGCCCCCTAAGTAGCTGGGACTACAGGTGTGTGCTACTACACCTGGCTAATTGTTAAGTTTTCTGTAGAAATGGAGTCCTGTTATGTTGCACAGCCTGGTCTCAAGCACCT